TTTTGATCGAGGCCTCCCTTTGGCAGTCTCTCTGTGCATGTGTGTCTCTCTGTGTCTCTGCACCTCCCTCCCCCCGCCACATCTCTCCCTTCCCACTGTGTTTTGATCTCTCTGCTTGTCTCTGCCCCAGGCGTGAACCACTCACTGGCTGCAGTGGCCGCGGCCACCCCCACGCCCGGTCTCCCGGGGCCCAGCTCCTGAAATCCTCCAGCTGACATTTGGCCAAAGCCCCTTTTCCCTCAGTGCAGCTGGAACAAGATGGGAATTTTTCAACCAAACATTCTTAAGAAACGAAGGGGAGTTTGGGGGACAGACAACAAAAGCAGACACACAAAAACAGGCCCAGAAATGGTCCGTGCTTGACACAGGTCCCTAATGGCCATGGGAGCACGCCTCCCCGCCCCGCCCCCCCACACCGTCGCTGTGGTCATTGCAGCTGGGCGCCCTGGGGGCCCAAGAGGGAAGTGGTCTGCTCAGGGACACCCAGCGGAGTGGGTGGGTGAGAAAGACCAGCTGTGCTTCCAGGCCCCCAGTTTCCCAGGCTAAAGAACCTCCGGCCCCATCTTAGACCCATTGTTCTGGCCAAAAATCTAGGCCAAAGCCACTGGGGAGAAGTGTTCCTGCTCCCTTGGAAATCTGAAGATCGCAGCCCAGGCAGGTCACCCGGGACCCAGCCGGCCCCCCTCGGCCTGGTCCCCGGCCAGCCCGAGCCCAAGGTGGATGGATGGGCGGGCAGCAGTCACGCACGACAGGGTGCAGGGCCCAGCAGGGAGGATGGCAGCTGCCCTAATTACTCCAGCTCTCCAGGTTCCAGTCCCGTTTGAAAAGGACTCCAGGGACACAGCCTTTAATAACTACCAGTAAACAGGCAGGAAAATCGATACCTGGTAAATAGAGCCCTGGAGAGAGAGATGCCTGGGCTGGCTGGCCCAGACCTGCTGGGAGGGGCTCCCGGAGTCCTTCGTCGCGGGGCTGGCCAACACCGGCCTTTCCAGCCCTGTCCCCGCTTCCCCTTTCCACTGCCTCTGAGCCCCGACCTGTGCCAAGCAGGCTGCCTGTTTCCATTGCAGACACCTCCTTTGCACAAGGATCTGTGCCTGGTGCTGGGAACACAGGCGTGGGTCCGACCTGGTTCTTGTCCTCCTGAAAGTCATCCACCAGCAAAGGAGATTAAGAACAACAATGAATGATTTAATGACAATGCAAGGACACTTGGGCAATATAAATAAAGCTGCATGTGCCAGCCATAGCAGCAGAAACAGAAAAGCAAGTCCAGGAAGAGGGGGACACAGGGAGGGTTTTGTTGGATGAATAGGAGTTCACCAAGTGAACGAGAGCTGGGACATGGGGAATGAGGGTAATGTATGTAGTAATAACAGCTGTCTTAGTTAACATTCATTGAGCACCTACTGTGGCCAAGCACTCCGCTGAGCACCTATGACCAGCATTATCTTGTTTTGTCCTACAGTAATTCTTTGGGGGTAGGTATTCATACCCCCATTTTACAGATGAAGACACTGAGGCTATGTGTGGAGGCAGGATTTGCACATGGCCCATGAGATTTCTGAACTGTTTCTCTCAACCACTTCATTCTGCACCTCCCATCTCCGACCCCACCCTGCCCAACTCAAGACCTGACACCCAGAGGTTAACGAAAGCAAGTTCCCGTCCTTTCCCTTACCATCTGGGGGTTATACCTTCCAGGTAACACAGCGCCTTAACCCTCACTGGGAGGCTCAGGGCGGGACTTCAGGCACATCAGACCTGAAGATCATCTCTCATGAGCCCTCATTTTGCAGACGGGCAAACAGACTCTGGGAGGAGAAGACCAGCACTCAGGAGCAGAGCAGGAACAGGATCCAGAAATGTTTCCTCTAACCCCCTCTCAGGCCTGCCCTGGAGGAACAGCATTGTCAAGGAAAAAATCGATATGCACACACTCAATTAAAATGATAAATCAGGCATCAGAACGAGGCAGCCCAGGAGACAGCGGGGGGGGGGGGTGTTCACATGATCGGCTTGAACAATACAGGAGTCCAGGGACTCCATCCTCACAGGTCTCTCTCACGTCCACGGCTGCAGCTGTCTGCCTTGATTTTCCCAGCTCTCGGGGTCTGGGCAGTGGACAGAGGCAGGGGTAGTCCATAACCCTTGGGATTCTGACGGAGGAGAGAGAGCAGAAGACAAGCTGTTCCAGCCCTGGGTAGGGACCCAAGTGAAGGTCAGGGAGAGTCTATGCTCGGGAGAGAGAAGCCTGAGCAAGGCAGGGGGAGGCGGTGGTCTTCAGGAAGGTCCGTGGTGGGTCCCCACCCATCTGGCTGCAGATCCCTGGGCCAGGCACCTCGGGCTTATGCCAGTTAACAGCCGAAATGCACTCCACGTTGTGAGGGTCTGCTGTCTGCCAGGCTCTGTGCTTGGCACTGGGGTATAGCAGTGAGCAAAGCAGTCAAGGTCCCTGACCTCTTGGGCTGACAGCCAGGTGGGAAGAGACAGAGAATAAAGAAAGTATGCAGATGGATGTATCGTATCAGGGAGTGCTGAGCGCCAAAAGAAAAAAACACCCGGCAAGAAGATGGCAACCGGGACAGCTGTGTTCGAAGGTGGTCTGGGAAAGTCTTTCTAGACAGGTGACATTGGAGCAGAGACCCAAAAGGAAGGAGGAAGGAAACTAGGAGAACATCTGGGGCCCCCCAAGTAATATTCCAGGTGGAGGGAACAGCAGATGTAAAGCCCTGAGCCTGGACAGTGCTTGGGGTGTTGGAGGAACGGCAAGGAGGCCCGGGTAGCTGGAGCGGAGTGAGTGAGAGGGAGGTGGGAGGTAGTAAGTCAGAGAGGAAGACCGGACTTTGTAGACTCACGGGGGGAGTCTGGTAGCCAGTGGGGGCTTTGGAGGTCATGGCGAGGACTTTGGCTTTTATTCCCAGTAAGAGGGGAGGCCATGGGAGGATTTTGAGCAGAAGAAAGGTGTAATCTGATTTGCATTGAAAAAGATCCCTCTGGCTGCCAGGTGAGGAACAGACTACAGAATGCAAGGGCAGAAGCAGAGGCCAGTCATGAGTCTACTGCACCGGTCCAGGCAGGAGAGAGACAGTGGGTTAGACCAGGTAGAATCACTGCAGTGAGAAGTGGTCAGGCCCGGGATGTATCTGAAGGTAGAGGGGACTGGGTCTACTAATAGACTGGATGTAAGGTATGAGGTAAGTCAGGGATGAGTCCAAATTTTGGGGTGGGTGGTATTGGGGTGCAAGCAGCTGGAAGGATAGAGCTCTATCCAGCATTTGCAATGAGAACCACTTCAAGAGGAGCAGGTTCAGGGTGGGGAAGCATCAGAGTTCTGCTTTAGCAGGGGTGAGTTTGAGATGCCCGTTGGACCTCCTCAGGAGCGTGCTGAGGAGGCAGCTGGATCCACGGCTCTCAGAGGGAGAGGGTGGGTCTGGAAAGGATGGATTTTGGAATCACCAGAGTGGTCCTTTTCACAACCTCACAGGGGGGTGTGGGGTTGCCTACGCCCATTTTAGAGATGAGAAAGCTGGAGCTCAGGGATGTTGAGGCACGGGACCACAGTCACAGAGCTGGCACGTTGGGCAGTGGGGACTTGAAATGAAGTCTGTCTGCCTCCCAACCCCTGGAGCCTAGCCCAGTCCCTGGGCTCTGGGGCTCTTCTCACCGAATCCTCCCAGCAGCTCTGTGCAGGGGGGGAGGGTGCGTCATGAGCTCGGCATCACCTTCATTTTCGAGCTGGGGCCACCAAGACCCAGGCAGGCTGAAGGGACTTGCCCACAGCTGAGAAGCAGTCAAGTGTGCAGCCTTCCTGCAGGTGTGCCAAGTGAGCCCAGCAAAACTATCCCTCCACAGTGGTCCCAAGGCACAGAGCAGACTAAAGCCTCTGAGAAGTCCTGCAGCCTTGACCTCGCCTTATCTCTTATTTTCATGCACTGTGCCAGGGAGCCCCTAGAGCTTTGGGAACATGAAGCAGTGGTTGAGAGCAAAACTTCAATGCCCTCATTTTTCAAATGGGGGCATGAATACCCACCTGGCTGGGGTTATCATGTGGTTCTGTGCATTTTCAACGAGCACTGGGCATGGAGCCCTCCAGAGAGCAGTCAGCAGATGTCTGTTAAAGGAAGGAACACAACAAACAGATGAATGAAAAACAAAGGAATTGGTGGGCGAAGGGATGAACAGACGCGGGAATGAGCAAAAGTCATGAAGGAACACAAGAGTAGCCACACCCCAAAAGGTTCAGGGTCTGAACTAGGGAATGCATTCATACACTCAGCAACGATCTGTTGAGAGCACCTACTGTGTGCAGGCGCTGGGGACACAGCAGGGAGGAAAACGAAGTCCCCGCCTTGGTGACATTCTAGTGAGAGGAGACAGAAAACAAGATAAATAGGTAAAATATAACTTATGCCAGATGGAGAAAACCAAGCAGGGATGGAGAGAGAGAAAAGGAAGTATGTGGAGGGGTGGCACATTTTTAAATAGGGTGGCAGTAAATGAGGGAATGGCTGAGTGCATGAATTAAATTAGGGAGTGAGAAGACATGCAGTGAGAAGCATAAGGGATGACTGCAGGCATGGGTGAAGGATCTAATGAAAGAATTATTGAATGAACGAACCCAGGAAGATATGAATGCAAGAACTAAGGCGCGAATGAATGAATGAACAAATGAGCCAATGGAAGAGTGGTTGAGTGAAGAGATGAATTTGTGCTTGAATTAAAGCACCGATGAGAGGATGGATGAATGAAGGAAGTTTGGAACGAGGCAAGAAGGCCAGCCCGCCCCCCACTGCTCGCATGGCCGTGGCCGGCTGTCCCTGCTCCCCGCACCCGGGTCCGAGCAGCCCCCGCCCCCCCTCGCCCCCGCCCCACTCCCCACTCCCCCGGGGCCTGTGCGGCCACCGCTCCGGTGTGGGTGCTGACCCCGGAGGGTGGAGGGGTGCCCGCCACACACACTCCCCCCCCCCGCTCTGACCGCCCTCCCCTTGTGAGCGCAGGCACCATGCGGCCCGTGCGGCGCAACTTCTACGACCCGTCGTCGGCGCCGGGCAAGGGCATCGTGTGGGAGTGGGAGAACGACGGCGGCGCGTGGACGGCCTACGACATGGACATCTGCATCACCATCCAGAACGCCTACGAGAAGCAGCACCCGTGGCTCGACCTCTCGTCGCTCGGCTTCTGCTACCTCATCTACTTCAACAGCATGTCGCAGATGAACCGCCAGACGCGCCGCCGCCGCCGCCTGCGCCGCCGCCTGGACCTCGCCTACCCGCTCACGGTCGGCTCCATCCCCAAGTCGCAGTCGTGGCCCGTGGGCGCCAGCTCGGGCCAGCCTTGTTCGTGCCAGCAGTGCCTGCTGGTCAACAGCACTCGCGCCGCCTCCAACGCCATCCTGGCCTCGC